TTCCCTCTCACTGTCTCTGTCAAATAAATAAATAAAATCTTTAAAAAAAGATAAAAGATTTTATTTATTTGACAGAGAGAGACACAGCGAGAGAGGGAACCCAAGCAGGGGGAGATCATGACCTGAGCTGAAATCAAGAGTTGGGATGCTTCACCGACTGAGCCACCCAGGCACCCTGAGAATTAACTAAAAATTGAACAAGATTATTTACAGAACACACCAGAGCCAAGAAAGGTCACTGGCCCCTTGTCAAAAGTGCAGCCATTCAGGGCCGGGCCAGCAGTGCCTTTACCTGCACTAGGGTGCTGGGTCCTGGCTGACAGGGAGGTGCCACAGCCCCTCACGGGCGTGTCTCAAGAGATGGGCCCCCGGGCCCTCTGGGCAGGGCCCCCGGGCCACCAGCAGCTCTGTGCAGAGATCGTGGGAGGGATCAGGCAGCCCCGGAGACCCACGCATGGAGCAGGTCACAGACGGGGTCCCAAGGGCACGGGCAGCCTCTCAGCAGCTGGCCCCAGAGCACATGGTGCCCTCAGTCGCGGGCCTGGGGCTGCTGGACATGAGGGGCCTGGGCGGCCCTAGAGGAGTGATGTCATCTGATGTTGCGGCTGTTGCGTGGCAGGTGGGAGAGGGCAGACCTGTCAGGAGCTCCGGCACTCATGCAGCCGGAGCGGATGTGCCCGCAGTAGGCTCAGAGGGAGCAGCGAGAGGTGCCCAGACTCTCCAAGTGCTCTGAAAGCCTCTGCTGACAGAATGCCGGGGGCGGTCCCCACGTCCGGTCCTCCAAGCCTGACCAAAGTCACTCTGGTGGGCCTCAAGATGGGTTTCGTGTGCAGCTCTCAGGTATTTAAAACAAAAAGCGGAAGGTCACCACCAGAGGCCCAGACACCAGAAAGGCTCTTGGTGCTTATCAGTCCCTATCTTCGAAAATGGAAAACAAGGGCCTGCTGGAAAGTACTCATTTCACTGATCTCTGCCTCTTAGTTTTCTGAAAGTCTATCTGAATAACTTTAAAAAGATCAATCAACTAACTAGGGCCTGTCACAGAGAAGGAAGTCCCCACCAATGTTGAGATTCCTGACTCTAAATAAATAGACATTTTTCTGGTTTAAAAAAAAAGTCACAGACCAAACATAGGAGTAATAATTTTGTTTCTCTACAGTTCTATTAATTTTTATTTTTGTTCTTCTGGGCTTCAGCAAAACGATGTGGATGCTATGAGCTTAACAATCCCATTCAGGAAAACCTGTCACCCAACAAGGCAAAGCTGTGTCACTGACACGTTCAGAGCGGAAGCCCGCGCCCCGCCTCCGGAGTGGGGTAACGCATCCCCGCGGCCAGCAGCGAGGACAGCCAGCACCCGAGGGGCAGACGACCGGACTGCAACGTCACTGCCTCCCCAAAAACGAGGAGACTGGACTTCGCCAGGCGTCCTTCACTGGGGACCCAGCTCAGGCTGCCATTCACAATGCCACCGGTGGGTCGGGGGGGCCTTAAAGTATTTATTTCTCACAATTCCAGAGGCCAGAGTCCAAGATCAAGGTGTCAGCTGACTGGGTTTCTGGCTTCACTGTGTCCTCACGTGGCCTTTCCTCTGTTCCCAGTGGCAGAGCAGGGAGGGGGTGAGCTCATTTGACCTTAATTACTTCCTCAGAGGCCCCATCTCCAAATACAGCCACACTGGGGGTTAGGGCTTCAACACAGGAACTTGGGGGGCACAGTCATTCAGCCCATCACAGCTCGGACTCAGGTGTTGGCCTCTGGGTATTCAAATGTTAGGTTAAAGCAGGTTGTGTACCTAGAAGAGGGACTGTGCTTGTTCTGTGCCTCCCAGTACAAAGGACGCCAGGGCCTGAGGAGCCTGTGTGGCTCCAGTGGATGTGGATGAGAACACAGAGGCCCGCAGTCAAACCCTCAGCGAGCCCCACCCCGCTGGACCAGGCTTTCTGCCAGCAGGAGTCCTTCGGGCGAGCGCACCATTCCCTCCCGTTCCCTAGGAAAACAGACCTCTCCAATTGTTTCATTTTTGAGCAGGCATTCCAACATGATTCAAAATCAAGACAACATGCAGGGGTTTACACATGGAGAGGTGTCTTCCTGGTACCTGCTCCCGCCCGCCTCGCACCCCCTCAGGGTACCATCTCGGTGCTCCAGCATGAAGGTCATATCCCACCCTCCTGCACAAAACGCTGCAAGCCCTCCATGCTCTGCTTCTCGAGGGGTCAGGGGACCCACTGTGAGCCGCCCGTGGCCACTTTGGCGAGCCCCAATACCATTTCCTTTTCAGATACTACAAACCTCGTCTTCTACTTGGATGTCTGCAGGTGTATCTGCAGTGCAAATCCCAAAAAGTGGCAAAGGGCGGATGAGAGGTAAGTGCCCTCATCATTTCAGTAGACAGGGCAAACTGTTTTCCATTTTGTGCTCACCACCATAGCACGGAAGCGCATGGTTTCCCAGCAGCCTCACTGACTTTTGGATTTTTGCTAATAAATCCTGCACTACGAGGCATTAATAGGATACAGAAAAATGATGTCTCTGTAGTGTCAATTTGCATGCTCTCAGGAGTGAAGCTGCATATCTTCTCCTTGCTCAAGGGCATGTGCATCTGAGTGATTTATGACTGGCCCGTTCTTCTATTAGGCGTTTTCTCACTTTCCACAAGTTCTTTATGTATCAGAGAAATCAGCCTCCTGTCATAGCAGTTCCAGATTTTTTTCTGAGTTTGTCTATGCTTATGGCTTTTTAAAGTCTTTTTAGTTCAAGGGGCACCTAGGTGGCTCAGTTGGTTAAGCATCCAACTCTTGATTTTGGCTCAGGTCATGATCTCAGGGTCGTGAGACTGAGCTCCACCTTGGGCTTGTGGAGCCTGCTTAAGATTCTCTCCCTCCGGGGCGCCTGGGTGGCTCAGTCGTTAGGTGTCTGCCTTCGGCTCAGGTCATGATCCCAGGGTCCTGGAATCAGGCCCCGCATCGGGCTCCCTGCTTAGCGGGAAGCCTGCTTCTCCCTCTCCCACTCCCCCTGCTTGTGTTCCCTCTCTCACTGTCTCTCTCTGTCAAATAAATAAATAAAATCTTAAAAAAAAAAAAAAAGATTCTCTCCCTCCCTTTACCTCTGCCCCTCTCCTCTGTGTGCATACACACTCTCTCTCTAAAAAAAATAAAAATAATAAATAACAATAAATAAAGCCTTTTCAGTTCATAACTTTTTGATTTCTATGTAGTCTTTACTTTTCTTTTATGGTTAATGGTTTTTGAGTCCTAGGTAAAAAGGCTCTGTTTACACCACTGGTGAGTTACTGCCCTTTATGCTAAATTCTTGTGTACCTTTGGGATTAAGAAATAGAGCTTATAAAATGAGGACGGGGCTGGCACCTGCCAGTCCTCTCTCCCACTTAACTGATCCTGTTTGTGTCCATCTAAGATCCTTCCTTCCACTGTGGCTCCCCAGAAAGCACCAGGGAGGAATCCTAATTTTGGGCATATTTTGATGAAAGCTGTTCTTGCAAAATCGTAACTCACGTCAGTGTTCAGACCAGAGTGGTCCTGTGCCGATCTCTCTCCCCTTGGTGGACAATTAAGAACCACAGCTGTTTCCACAAACTGGCACAGGTTTTCTTCAAGTATCTGAACACCTTCCACGCTCTGGGGACAGGACACCGACAGGAGCACCCTGCCCGCGAGCTCCCCTCCCGCGTGCCCCCCTACTGGAGGCGGCGATGAACGCCAGAGCCACAGACCGAGGGACAGCGGCGCTACAAGACGCTCCGTGCCGACGGCCTGCTCTCACCCGGTTCTGCGGGTCCGATCAGCACGGTACATGGCAAGGGGCTGTTACTGCGCAGCTCCCCGTCCTTGTTCCAGAACTACCAGGACATGAGCATGAGGGAGACATCTAGACATGGAGACCGAGGTCTTCCTTTGAAGGACCCAGGCTTGTCTGACTCGGGATAAACATCACTGGAAACGAGAGGTGCCCAATGGCCAGAACTGGGGTTTCGGTTTGGTTGTGTTTAGCTGGTATTTCATGTGCCTGACCTGAGAGACTGCACAGATCCTCTCGATTTTCTCAAACCCCAGCAAGGGAGTCACCTCATCGCTCTGGCGTGGAAGCTACAAATTACAATTCAACAGCCTCCATTTGCAAAGCATTAAGCTCGTATTTTGAGAGGAGCTGCAGCTGAGAAGCTTCTGTATTCCATGACACAGAGCGTATGTTCTATACTGTAGTCCTGACCTTGACAAAGCTGACAGAGTGACACATTTCTAAAGCTGTTATGCAGGTACTTTTCATTTATTTTTTGAGACAGAGAGAGAGAGAGAGAGAGAGAGGGAGAGAGAATCTCAAGCAGGCTCCACGCTCAGTGCAGAGCCTCATGTGAGACTCGATTTCACAACCCTAAGGTCATGACCTGAGCCGAAATCAAGAGTTGGCCGCTGAACCGACTGAGCCACCTGGATGCTCCAATGCTGCTGGTTTTACATAATCAATAAGATGTTTTCTGTTAGTAAGAAGGAGTTTCCTGTACCTTTATTATTCCCCTTCTCACTAAAAGTGGCTGGGCTTCATCTTACCTCAAGCACCATGCACTTCCTGTTCTGTATGGATATTACTTGCATTGGTGCAAATCCCCTAGTACACCGGAAAGTTTTGGAAGGCACAATCTTTCAACTCTGTACTTCCAATCTTGGGCACATAAAGAGGAACTGCCCAATTAAAAAAAAATCAGATTTTTGGAGGGTAGTGGCAACAGTAAGAGCACTTTTAGATCCTCCCAAACCTTCACCTGAAACAGAACCGCAGACATCTGTAACAAACCTAGGTGACAAGTACCACTGACAGGGATGGGGAGCACACTGGAACTCTCCTGCCCTGTTGATGGGAAAGTAAAATGGTAAAAGATGTTGGCTGGTGTTTCTTAAAGTCGAATACACACCTGCCATGTGACCCAGCCACTCCCCTCAAGAGAAATAAAAGCACATGTTCAGGAAAAGACGAGTACATACATGTTCACAGCAGCTTTATTTACAACAGCCCCACACCGGGGACGACCAAATATCCATGAACAGGAGAATGGGCGCACAAACTGTGGTTACCCATACAATGGATACTCCTCAGCAATAAAAAGGGAGTGAACTACTGATAGACACAGCGTGCGTGAATGCCAAAATAATTACAGAGTGAAAGAAGCTCCTGACTGAAAAGGAGTTTATACTGTAGGACTCTATTTATATAAAATCCTAGGAAATACAAATTAATCTATAGTGACAGGAAGTAGATCGGTTGTTGTCTGGGGATGGGGTCAGGGAGGGAAGGATTTCAAAGGGGCATGAGAAAACCCCGGCGGGGGGTGACACGCAGTTCTGGCGGGGACTTCACAGGGGAATCCATAGCTCACTTTACATACGTGCCATTTGCTGTCCGTCAAGCACACCTCCATAAAGCTGTTAAAAAGCAAAACGGTATTGGTGACTCCAAAAAGCTGACACACGGGAATGAAGGACAGGGCCTGCCCACCACAGCCTGCACACCTGTGGGGCAAAGCACAGTGGGGCCCCTGGGCGCCTGACAGACCCCTGAAAGGACACCCCAAAGGGGCCAACAGGTGTCCACTGCCAAGTGTGGCGGGCCAGCCTGAGGCCAGTGGCTGGAGCAGGACAGCTGTCCCTACCCTGGGGGTGAATGGGTGCAAGGGACCCACTGCAAGAGGGTCTGAGGGCTGGAGCCGTAGAGCCCAAGAGCCACCGCAGCTGACCCGCAGGGACCCAGGTGGTGGGGACAGAGCCAGCACCAGCAGGACAGGGACAGTGGAGAGAAAGAAGGACTCGATGCAGGTGCGGTAGGGCCAGAGCTGGGAGAGCTCTGGAAACTAGCCACCATATTTCTAGCCATGATTCAAAATTCAATAGGAAAGAGAACTCTGTGAAGTGGGGAAAAACTATCTCAACTGAACGTTTAGGAAAATGAGTGACGGTAAAGTATCAATCCCACAGAGAGCTATTCTAAGACAAAAGAAAAAGGAGCAGAACAAACACCCCTACATACAGCGAGGGCATGCCAGAAAGACGTACCCACCAAACAGACCAAAACTAACTGCTTCGAAACATCAAAATATAAGATCCAAGATGGGAGGATGACACATGGGCATGAGAAAATATCAGAAATAAGGTGACAGAATTCAAGGAAACTAGAGAGACAAGAAAATTAATTTCAGAAATGAGAATCAAGAGCAGAGACAAATAATGCCTTTAGAGATGGGACATCAATAGGAGGACAACTTTTAAAAAACAAAATAAACTTAAAAAGAGATGAAAGACAGTCAAGAAAAAGTGGAAAACACAGAGGATGGACAAATCAGATTTCAACACAGAGATACTGGGTCCCCCAAAACAGAAGGCCAAAGCAAGAAAAACAGAACACTAAGCCGCAGTTCAGGAAACGCTCCTGAAATAGCAGATGTGAACGTACACACACAAAGAGCCTACTGTGCTCCTGCAAACACTGACCCAGGGCGACCAACACACGACACAGTCTAACACAACTTCGGACTGGAGAAGCAGGAAACCAAACCTCGGGACATTGAAGCAAAAAGGGGACATGACTTGTAAGAAAGAAGGAAAGACTCCTTGGGCTTTTCATGCTGGAAAAAAACCGAAATAAATACTTCAGACACTCAAGGAAGGAAAATGTGAGCCCAGGATTTCATACCCTAGAAAACGGATTTCAAACATAAAGCAAGCAAATTAAGGCCAACATGGGGAGCTCAGGGAGTATGGTTCCAAGATGACACTGACCAAACGCTGGTTGTGTAACCACTGAATACACAGAAGAGAGCTGAGATGAGGGTAAGGGGGCGGATTTTACTGTGTGACGGCGGACCATGGACATCCGATGCTGTCTCACCATCACAGCAGAACATTAGTATTAGGACCCACATACTGCACGTTACAGTGGGATGAAGCAAGAGCATAATTAGGGAGCATCTATCCCAGGATTCTCAGTGTAGGACACACAGACGTAACACAGAAGAGTTAAGGACTCTGAAATCCTGAGTTTCTACTGGAAATATCAATATGAGCTCAAATATTTTATCTTTAAATGTGTGTACATGTGTGTATGCTTTATAATTCTGTCCACTGAAAAGCCCTAGAAGCAATGACCAACCCCATAGCGACCAGCACCAAGCATTTGAAACACCTTTTCTGCCATTAAAAGAAATTGGGATTCTAGGGCATCTGGATGGCTTGGTCAGAGAAGCATGCGACTCTTGATTTTGGGGTCGTGAGTTCAAGCCGCACTTGGGTGTAGAGCTTACTTAACTTAAAAAAAAAAAGAAAAGAAAGAAAGAAACTAAGATTCTTAGAGAAATAGGCAATTCCAGATCTGGAGCAGGAAAAGTACAAGAAGGGTCTAGAGTACCTTGACACACCAGACTGCAATGGAGCTACTGATGACTGGGTGCACATGCGTGCGTGGTCTGTACACGTATGTGTGTGAGCCTACGGTGTACACCTGTGTACAGGTGTGGTCACTGCATGCGTGTGCATACATGAGTATCAAAAGAAATAAAGAGCCAAGCTGAAGAGCAGCCCCCCTACAAGCCCTAGAAGATACAACTTGGGATCAATAAAGATAAAAACTGCAATGACCTGAAACCTATCCAACAGCCTTAAGTAGATGAGTTCATGACACATAAGTGTTATAAAAACGTATAAATAAAAAAACCTTAAGTGGCCACCTTCTAAGGATGACAGGGAACTAATTTACTTTGCATTTATCCTGCCTTTCCTAAATGGAACACTACCACTGGGTAACCAAATAGCAGACGAGAGGAAGCATCTTTTTCTAAAACCATCCCAGCCAATATTTATTTTTATAAGCAAAATCACAGAATATAAGATTTATAAGCAAAATCACAGAATATCACCATTTTGGAACCTCCGAATCATTAACAGACCTAGGCACTGAGCTCCAGCAGCCGCCAATTCCAGAAAAATGCAGTCTATGCCTGCTGATGAAAGCACGTGGCCATCTATCATTCGCCGAAGGTGTGGAACCTGATTCTGATCAAGCCTCTGGGACCAGCTGCCAATTTGCAGGAAGTACAGAGGCCAGAAGAAAATGCTGGACTGTGCCAGGAGAATGCATGTGGCAAATCTAGACTCTGGGAACCAATAGGACAAATGGCCCAGATTCCTCAACAGGTAAACCTTACAAGGAGACCAATACATGCAATAAAGAGACTTCAGAAATACCGAGTCTAAAAAAAAGTAGGCGAGGCTCAACTGCCATAAAGAAACACAAAGAAGTCATTTTTATAAAAGTCAGGATTCACTTTGGAGGGAGGGAGGGGCTGGGGTTGGAGGAGCACATGGAGAGCCTTCTGGGGTGTCTGGCAAAGTTCTAGTTCTTGCCCTGAGTGGTGGTCATAAGGGTATTCACCTTATAGTAATGAAACTCAATGAGCTAAACATTCGTGTCATTTTCTGTACCTTTTTATGATAAAGTAGTAAAAAAAAAAATTGGGGCGCCTGTATGGCTCGGTCAAAGTGTCTGCCTTCGGCTCGAGTCATGATCCTAGGGTCCTAGGATCGAGCCCCACATTGGGCTCCCTGCCCAGAGGGGAAGTCTGCTTCTCCCCCCACTCTCACTCCCCCACCTTGGGTGCTCTCTTGCTCACTGTTTCTCAAATAAATCTTAAAAAAAATGATCATATCAAACTTTAACTTGCATAGTGCTTTTTTTTTTTTTTTAAGTAGACTCCTCCACACCCAGCATGGAGCCCTATGTGGGGCTTGAACTCATGACCCTGAGATCAAGACCTAAGCTGAGATCAAGAGCTGGACGCTTAACTGACTGAGGCACTCAGGGGCCCCTGCTTGCATAGTGCTTTTAACAAAAACAGCCAAAGAAATTTTAAAAGATTTATTTATGCATCTTGCTCTGTAAGATATTTCTATACAACAGTCAAGCAGCCAGGGCTATGTGCAGGCTTGCCTTGTACACAGGTGCCAGCCTGTGAAGACTCAGCCCACATTCCCTTGGCTGAGGTGTGGGCCCTGGCATGGGCTGTAGCCACCAAGGGAGCACTGCCTTGCTCTAATCCACGGGTATGTACAAGTCAACCTGAACATTCTGAGACTCAATCCTGCCAACTAGAAGATAAATGAACACTTTCAGAATGGTTCCAGACCTTGTCTGCATTTTTAAACCACTACTGTATTCATGCCTTATTAAATCAAAGTCCTAAAATTTCTGTCCAGACTACAATAAAACTAATGAGAACAGTGTCAAACCCAATAAAGCATAATGCTGAAATTTCAAATAATGCTCAAATCTCGAAGGATGCTCAATTTATTATAATTTAATGACTTTTTATCACAGGATATCACAGAATGACTGATTTACTTTTGCAAGTTGTATCTGCCCATCTACTGCAAATTTTATTTTTCACACCAGTAAGGAATGGTAAGAAAATAGTCACTCACTCAAGTTTTTCCAAGAATTAAAATTACTTCGTTCAGTCTTCTGATTGCTTAGCTCCTTCTCTTGCTAATCTGTCAGCTTCTTCATTGCCTATAAATCCCGAATGACCAGGAACATGCATCTGTTAAATAAATATTTTTCCCTTTTATCTTTACTGGTTTTTTACACAAGCAACACACAAGTACATCCTCAGTAACTTCCCGGTGGGCGGAGTGGGAGAACGCTCCTCCCCCCAAGGCCCCTCCCCCGGACAGTTCTAAATGGCACAACATGTATGCCCAGTGGATTGATGCAACGCAGGCATTTATAAAAATCCCATTTTGATTTTCCACAAACTGTACTGTTTTTATTGATTTTTTCCACCTTAATGATGGGACTTGGAAAGTTTTCCAGGTAAAACATACATATGTATAGATGGGGACAAATACATATCCAACACACATACTTTATTTTCTTCAAGTGCTGTCAGAAAGAGCAGATATACTTATGTGATTAGTTTTTGTTTTTTTTACCAAGTAGGCTCTACACCCAGGACAGCCGGACATGGGGCTTGATCCCACAACCCTGAGATGAAGACCTGAGATCTCAATCAAGGGTCAGACGCTTAACCACTGAGCCACCCAGGCGTGTGCTTCTGCGATTTAACCACTGTTTACATCTACATTGCTGAAGGGCAGATTTAAACCTTACATTACCAAGCTGTTCTCAGTGGTCCTAAGGCGGAAGAGCAATATAGGGTTAAGAAATGGTTGCAGTTTAACTTGCTCTGTATTGTTTGAAAAAAGTTTTTTTTTTAAAGATTTTATTTATTTGACAGAGACAGAGACTGAGAGAGCATGAGCAGGGGGGAGGGGCTGTGGGAGGGAGAGAAGACGACTCCCCGCTCAGCAGGAGCCCAACATAGGGCTCAATCCCAGGACCCTGAGGTCATGACCTCAGTCGAAACCAAGAGTCGGACACTCAACTGACTGAGCCCACCCAGGCACCCCCTGAAAAAAGTTTTAATAAAAACTATCTATTAATAAGAAAACTATTTCCATTTTGGAAAAAAAAGTCACATTACTAAAGTCTTATCACACTTCATTTTTAACAAAATACCTTATAAATTAGTTTTATTTTGACATTATGGCTGATTCCAAAGAAACCAACAGGTTGACTATCATGAAGTCACTTTAACAGTGATGAGGTTAATGAAGGATAGTGGGAAGAAAGGTGGGCAGGGACAAGTCCCCTGCCCTCCACCAAGAGGAAACAACCATTAAAAGGATTTTACACCACCCTGGAAGGAGCCCTCTACCCTTTCCCACGTGATAGATGACAAAAACCTGACTGGGTGACAGGCGCAAGGAGGGTTAATCAGATTAAAACAGCCCACCAACAAGCCCATTAAAAACCCCTAGACTTAGACACTCTGGTGGCAACCCTCTCAGGTCCCCCCCCCTTCTTCAGGAGCTTTGTACTATCACTCAATAAACTTTGTTTTGTTGCCCACCACTCTTCATCTGGTCTACCTCTTCATTCTTCAAAGTGGCATGACCACAACCACGGGCACTAAAGAAAAAGAAATCCTGCAACAAGGTGAGCCCAGACGAGGCACTCCTAAGCACTGCCAAGAGAATGTGAGGAATCCTGAACACCCCTAAAGTCACACTGCCCCAACAGTGTGTTCTACACACAATCACACCAACGATAAGCAGCATCACTTATACGGAAGTCAAGACTCAAATGAGTTCCAATTTCTAATACGCACTATGATATTAATTTCATGTAAATGGTTACTTTAAGTCATTAAATCACTTACAGAAAGCACTAATCTCTCCAGTTAATTTAGAATATTTGGTCCTGGGCACCTGGCTGGCTCAGTCAGTTAAACGTCCAACTCTTGATTTTGGCTCAGGTCACAATCTCAGGGTGGCTACACAGAGCCTCACATTGGGCTCCACACCGGGTGTGGGGCCTGCTTGAGATTCTCTCTCTGCTGCCCCCCCTCCCTCACCTTCTCTCTCTCCCCCCTCTCAGAGTATTTGGTCCTCACAGCCATGTGACAGGACTGGTTCAGACAACACGCACCCACTGGATGTCCATGCCCTGGATGAGCTGCTCCAGCGCCATGAAGTCCTCCTTGTTGATCACCTCTTTCCCTGTGCTCGTTTTCCACCCATTCTTCTTCCAGCCTTGAACCCAATTAGTGATACCTACAAGAAATGCACACTCACAGCCCACTGAGCTTGAATGTCCTGGTCTCTTCCTCCCTAGCCTTCCCTCTTCTACCCGCTCTACTCATCTTCATGGTGGCGTGTGGACCTGCCACTGGCCCACAAAGGCTGTACTCTGACAGGAGGTACAGACCTGGCACACTCCTCTGCTTGTCCCTTTGCTCGGACTGGTGTTGACCCACAGCTCCCAGCCTAAGAGGACGCATCCTCCGCCTCTTCAACCCCCTCCCCGTGTCCTAAACATGATTATTTCTCAAAGGAGCCATGAGCACGCCACCTTAAGTTACTTACGCGTGTTTACACTCAAAGGACCACGAGAGCAGGGACATATCTATCTTGCTGCCCTATCTTAGGAGCCTGGCAAAGACATGTCTATGTGGCAAACTCCAGAGCAGCAGAACTGAGCTCCAGAATCCCCAGCCTTCTCTTTATACCCGACAAACCAAGTGCTGTCCTCATTTACCATTTGGGTCCTGCCCTGATACAATACTTCCTACAGGGAAAGGAAATACCTATTCCTTCATGTTTACTAGAAAAACACTAGAAGAAGTAAAATGTAAAAACTTACCATTTATAGTAAACATACTGTCCGTATATAGAACCAACTTCTTGATGTTTTGAGCCTTTGCTTGCTCGATGGCTTTGCAGGCTGCCTTGAAGAAATGATGAGTCAGTCATCATGCTATAGAAACTGTTCAACTTTCAACGTTACTGATGTTCAAAATCACTTCACCATTTAAACATTTTTTTTCTGAGCTAACTGTAACGATTACATGCTCTGTGTGAAATAATGCTACACACATAGTTCTGCTTGCACACCTATTTGAAGTTACTTTTAAAATTTTTCTGGAAAATGCCTATTCGTCAGAGTCATTAGTAACCCCAAACCAAGTTTATTCTGGACTCTGAGTATCTTGTGCACACAGAGAGTACACAGTTCACTGCTATGATGGACTTACTCTCAGTGGGAAATGTGTCTGACAACTTACATGAATTTCTGCTCTTTGGTTGGTCTGCCGCCCGGGAAGCCTAATGCCTACGTTCCTGGGATCGTAAAAAGGAAAATGAAATCAATTAAAAGAGCTAATTCTCAAAGTGATTCCTTAAGCTTCTCAACGGACGATAGGCTTGATACACTTTTTTGACATATGAAAGCATCATACAAAAATACAGCCTTTAAAAATCAAACCAAGAGCACTAACGTTTTACGGAAAAGCACCATGGGATGGTCTTGTGAGGAATACTGGGCCAGAATTCAAAAGCAAACTTTTATTTCTGGCCCTGAAATACATCAGCTTGTGGTCTTGGGTGAGCACTAAGCCCGCAGACACTCAGTGCCACACAAGCTCGCCACCTCTTACAGCGTTTGAAGCTAAAATGAGATATCAAAGGGAAAGGACTTTGTAGACCACAAGTCGAGAGAAATATAGTCTTACTGTTACTGAACAGTTTATGTTACATTATGCCCAACAGTTCTGTGGGCACCTGCAAATGCTGGAGACAAAGCTCAGAACTGATGTGGCTACTTCACAGACTCAGATCCCTCTTTTACACTGATTTTTAGGCTGCCCAGTGTATCTGAATGATCACACTTTGCATCACCCTGGCCTCGTGCCTGGTGAAAAACTAGGAGTCGCCTCTAAGCTCACACGTCCTCAGAAGAGTCATGGGGACATGACGGGTTTCAGGCCTGGTGACCTTGGACATCCTTGCCAAAACCATCCCACAGGAGACATGTGACTCTCCTAGGGGGCAGGGAAGTCATTCTGGTAGAAGATGTCATCAGCGGGACACAGAGACTCGTCAAGATTCAGGGTGAAGAAAGCAATGCCGGGGTCTTTTAATCCTGAAGAACAAAGCTGTCAGTGTCGACATGACTCGGTCCTGCGCTCCCTCTGCCAAAGCTAACCAAACAGTCAGCAGACCTTGCCTCATTCCTTGACAAGCTTTAGAATGCGATTCACTTCGTTTACTCACAAAGGATGGCCCGGCCCCCAGTAAACGCCGATCCCTGCTCGTGCCCTCCTCCGCCCGTTGCTGGAGCAGCAGCCGTCAGTGTAGACGACGACAAACTCTCCTGGAAAAGGGGACTTCCTGAGTGCCACTGCATCCAAAGCACCCAATTCAGTGAGCCCACATTCACATTTTAAACTGACAAAGTACTGTGCAATGGGAAACATTACCGATTCCTTACACAGGGGCCCTCGACCCTTTCTCATTAGCATGCACTCCTATTTTGGTTCTGCATGACAGGCAAATTAAGGGTAAAGGCAGTCTTTTGTGAACCTAGAACCCCCTGCAGCGAGAGCTGCTGCTGCCTCCCCCACTACAGAGGTCAGAACGGTGCCACTACCCCTCTCCCTGTGGGGGGCAGGGCTCACACTCACTCCCAGGAGCTGTCCTGGCAAACAAGCAGTGCCTTGGCATGATAAGGACCTGTCCGCCAGAAGGTCTAGTTCTCTGACAAATGTTGGTCTAATTTTTGTCTTTGCTTCTTTCCGTCAAGACAGAGGGTCAGGGGCACCTTGGTTGCTCAGTTGGTTAAGTGTCTGCCTTTGGCTCAGGTCATGATCCCAGGGTCCTGGGATGGAGCCAGCCGCCTCCCCCGCCCCCAGTCGGGCTCCCTGCTGAGCAGGGACCCTGCTTCTCCCTCTCCCTCTGCTGCTCCCCCTGCTTGTACTCTCTCTCTCCCCGTCAAATAAATAAATCTTAAAAAAAAAAAAAAAAAAGAGGGTCTGACCAACATAACAATGCTGTAAAGAAGTAGGTAGAAGAGATCTGATATGAGGCCACTCTAAGGCCACTGATGACTAGAACACTCTTAGCAGGGGGGCAGGAGAAGTCAGGTTGGCAGATCTTGAAGAGTAGGGCCATGGGGGCAAATAGAGGCTTTGCTTTGCACTGTTTCTCAAAAGGATTATAGACTGGACAAGGCAGAGGCAAAGGGAAGAGGAGGGAGGATGTTAAAGGAAGAACATGTTCCTAGCCAGAAAGGGGATGGGAGTGTGGAAAAACATGGGTGTTGGACAAGAATCCTTGGTTCAACCGAAATTGACACCATCCACACAACAGCCTTTCTGGTCACTGAATTCGGTCTCAACCTATCAGGCACTGCGTTAAATGCCACTGTACTTCAAGCCACTGTTAGTACCTTGGAAACGGCTCATCACCCAATCACTCCCCACATATGTGCTCTGATTACTACTGGCAAGTAACCAAATCCAGAACATTTGGTTTTTTTTTACATAACTGCAAAATTGATTTATACAGTTTTAATACAGCTTAACAAAAAACATTTTCTATTGGTTTTCCTTGAATTATAAGACAGCTTATTCTTGGAGAAAACTTGGAACCTACAAACACACTGATTTATATAAAAATCCTACTTACCAAAAAAAAAAAAAAAGCTACTTACTCCTATTTTCTGTTCATACGTGTAAAAAACAAAAAGGAAATTTATATAACATAAGTAATTAAATATAAACCGATCCCTGGAGTTAAAGGTAGAGGAAAAATTCAGACTCTTTTGCTTCTCGGGACTAGGTAAAATCATTTGTTTTGCAAAGGCTAAATGTAAATGGTATTAAGATACTGGTTCTAAAAAAGAGCTCTGTCTGGCCCTTACTTCTTCTTTTTTAAAGATTTATTTATCCACTTGAGAGAGAGAAAGAGAGCGCTTGAGCACATGTGCAGGGGAGGGGCAGAGGGTGAGGGGGAAGCAGACTCCCTGCTGAGCACAGAGCCTGACATGGGGGCTTGACCCTGAGATCAGGACCTGAGCACAAACCAAGAGCCAGATGCCTAGCCAACTGAGCACCCCAGGCGCCCTCCAGGCCCCTTCTTATTTGAAGAAGCTGAAGCCTCTGCATTTTCTCATAGTGACCTGAAATGCTGTGTGCACGAGAGAATACTAGGGTTTCAAAAGATTACGGTTTTTCATTTGTAGGCCACATAATGCTTTTTTGATGAATGTCCAAAGTTTTAATAATTCTGCACAGTTTGATCAACTATAAAATAGTAACCTTAGAAATTTTTAAATAACCTTTTCAGATGAGAATGAAAAGGCTAAACATTAGCTCAACTTTCCCCTATTAAGTGGGAAACGTTCCTACACTTATTTTCACGATTATTATATGGAAAACTTAAAAATCCAAGAGAGATATACCCATATAAGAAAACAAGTCTTTGTTAACTGAAGGCACGGATTCTGCGTTCTGTCTCGCATGCTTCACACAGGGCTCTGCGTTTTCCTCTCCATCCGAGGGTTCACGGAGTCGCTTGTTGACTTTCACCTGTGATTCTTGTTCATGCTTATTTTCTGTCCCTGAAAGATCGATTCTACTCATAAACCAGGAAAAAACAAACATAACATGAAATGCTTAAGAATCCAGAAATTCAGTAAGTGATTTAGTATCACTAAATCAGACTTACACACACTTTGTCTGTGGCCCTATAGAGGATATGACTTAAGACAGTCCACACCGTGTCAGATTTTGATGTTCTATGAAATTACTCTAAATTTTCCATAAGCTTAAGGGCAATATGAAGACAAAACAACATTTCTATTAAAGTAGAAGTCTGCTTTTGACAGAGATAGTAGAGATACCAAAGGTTTTGAATCCTACAGGGATGGTGGGCAGTTTGACAATCTAAGGGACTCTTAACCCAGAAAGAAAACAAGGACTAGAATTTTGTAGCTACTACTACTCTAGATACTTCAACTCCATCAATGCCAAGTCGAGAACCTCCAGGGAAGTTGAGAGGGCACGGGTAACTGGACCTTAAGTAAACCAACAGTGGGCTACACTGAGAAAGGAAAGTAGAAACCAAAGAGCAGAAGGGACTGGGTTCCTTCAGGGCGGTAGCTGCAGAGCTTTCCTTCAGGAGCTCAGCCAGGGGACGCAGGATTAATCCCAAAGGCTTCTCACACACTCTCTCAGGTCATGTGGGAGCAGCTTTTCCTACATTCTCATTTTATGGAGTGGGAATAGGGGCACAGAAGGAGCAACTAATTGTATTTCCAAAATAACAACAAAGCCCAACACTACAGAGTTCACTTTAACCTCATCCCTGAACCAGGGATGGAGAAATGGGGCTCCAATGTTGACTGAACACCTACCACTTGGGTCCAAGCCAGAATGTCCTGCCTGGAGTAGCTTCTCCACCCACACCTGTCAGAAGACTGCTAAAGGTTATCTAAGCAAAATCTGAGTGAAGCCATTATGGAGAGCAATGTTTGGTTTTCCACTCTGCTGTATTTACCTTTAAAATATTCCTCTAGGGGGGCGCCTGGGTGGCTCAATGGATTAAGCGACTGCCTTTGGCTCAGGTTATGATCCCAGGGTCCTGGGATGGAGTCCTGCGTCAGGTTCCCTGATCGGTGGAGAGCCTGCCTCTCCCTCTCCCACTCCCCCTGCTTGTGCTCTCTCTCTCTCACTCTATCTCAAGTAAATAAATAAAATCTTTAAAAAAAATATATATTCCTCTAGGGACTTTACATAAGTAAACCCAAAAACACAAGTATAAGTCAAAGGGTAATTTTGTAGAAGTTTAATATCAATAAAAATATTGATTTTACTTGTAGTAACAGAGAAAGTTAAATTGGAATGAAAGTTTTTAAAGGACAGATAAGACTTGGAAGGAAAAGGAGCCCATAGCTGTCAGATAATTTTCCCTTCACAAAACTTGGTTAAGTTAACCCCAAATCAGTTTACATAAATCATGATAACTGCCAAATAGCTCAAGAATCACAAAATAAAAATATATGTCACATTAAGAGAAAATTTGGGAAAGGGGCTAACACTTCTGCTTTGACAGAGTTCTTGAACATTAAAGATGTCAAATTCCAGTTTATATATATAAGTCAGTAACTTGGAGGTCTCTGCAAACTTTTAAGAAAGGTGATTCATAGATATAAAGAACTATCTTGCCTTAGGATTTAGAGTATTTAATAAACAGAAACATACTTCTATTCTTCTGTTGGAAGAATTGAAGTATAAATAAATTACTATTTGGTTAAAACAAAAGAGCAGTGAAAAGGAAGCATTAAGAACCCAACTAAGACAAGAGCCATACTTGCACATTTGTTTTCTGTCCCAAACTGATTTCTCCATCAGGGCAGAAAATGTAATGGTCACATCACAACTTCTTTAAAAGCTGCTCGGGAGACAGGGTGAAGCAGATGCACAGTGAGTGAGGTTCTGCCCTGCTTCAGAAACTTGTCATGCAGGGTAGATTCCTAAGCGTGATTGCCTCTCCCTGAATTCTGCTTTGACTGCAATTGTTACGGCCTCCCAAAGGAGCAGGTGTTCAAAGCTTGAGCATCTCAGTGGGATTGTAGAGAGCCTGCTCAAAAAAAGTGGACTCAAACTATTGTCTCATCTTAATCCACTAGTAAAAATATTTGTGAGTAAAGCTAATGAGACACAACTTCTTCAAAATAGGTTAAGATATATAGTTTGCTCCCAAACAATGTGGGGGTCTGACGCCCTGCTCAGTTGAAAAATCTGAGTACAATCTCTGATTCCCTAAACACTTAACTACTACTGATAGCCTACTGTTAACTGGAAGTCTTACTGATGTGAACAGTTGATTCACACATATTTTATGTATGTCTTTATGTACTGTAGTCTTACAATAAAGTAATAGAGAATAGAAAATGTTATTAAGGGGCACCTGAGTGGCTCAGTTGGTTTAGCTGTCTGCCTTTGGCTCAGGTCATGATCCTGGAGTCCTGAGATCGAGCCATGTTGGGCTCTCTGCTCAGCAGGGAGTCTGCTTCTCCTTCTCCCTCTGCTCCTCCCCCTACCTCCCCGCTCATGCTTGTGCTCTCTATCTCTCTCTCAAATAAATAAATAAAACTCTTAAAAAAAAAGAAAAGAAAAGAAAATGTTAAAATCCTAAGGAAGGACACCTGGGTGGCTCAGTCGGTTGGGCGTCTGCCTTTGGCTCAGGTCATGATCCCAGGGTCCTGGGATCGAGTCCCACATCAGGCTCCTTGCTTGGCAGGGAGACTGCTTCTCCCTCTGCCTGTCCCTCTCCCCACTTGTGCTCACTCTCTCTCTCCCCGACAAATAAAATCTTAAAAAAAAAATCCTAAAGAAAATTTATAATAAATGTATATTATATGATAAATGTAATATAATGAAGTCCACATATAAGTTTACCCACGCAGCTCAAACTCATTGTTGTTCAAGGGTTAATTGTATTTTAAAAATTCTGTGCTCTCAAGCAGTCACCCTTAGTTCTGCATACTTGATGTTCCTTATACTGGGACTTAAGCTTCAATTAATTATACCTTCTGCAACATGTGAAACTGTAGGAAATTCTGATTGTGTGACCCTGTCCTAAAAAAGAAGGAAACACCATACAGGTGCATGCCAGGAAACAAACTACATTCAACACTTTAAAACTGTAGCCCATTCAATTTGATAACAGAACAAGTATTTTTTAAAAGATAGAATTAGGGGCCCCTCGGTGGCTCAGCTGGTTGAGCATCTGCCTTCGGCTCAGGTCATGATCTCAGGGTCTTGGGATGGAGCCCCATGTCTGGCTCCCTGCTCAGCGGGGGGCCTGCTTCTCCCTCTGCCTGCAGCCCCCTGCTTGTGCGCTCGCTCTCTGACAAATAAAATATTAAAAAATATATTTAATAATAAAAAATAAAAATAAATAAAACAGAATTAAATAGAGTGAGGACTCCAAATGAACATCAGATTGGAGTCCCAGCTTATCTCTAATACTGTTACTAACAGAAACTACTAAGCTAAACCATTAAGCTAAACTACTTCCTGCCTGTTTCCTCATCTGTAAAATAGAAAAGTGGAAACAATCATCACATCTTCTGTTTAGAAGACAGCTATACAGACCAAGTGACGCTGGGGTATGCAAGGTTTTGAGCAGGTTAAAACACCATAGTGACGAGAGCAGCTGACTACCTTCTGAGCCATCCGGGCTTGCAGGCTTTCTGACAAAGGCCCAGGCCTCCTCCTCCGTGGCAAATTTCTTAAATCTGGCAGCAGGAAACCGGTCCACCTGGGCTCTACATTCGCTCCTGGAATAGAGTGCGGGGTTACTTCCTTCCTCCCTTGGTGGTCCTCTTTTTAACAGATTCCTTTCTTAGGTTGGGAAGAGTGTGAAGAGGTTGGGGCTGTCAGCTCCAACTGGACAAACGGTCAGGGCTGTTTGTAATTTTGTCCCCTGCCCAAGCCTTCACCCTGTGGTGCTATGTACCAGCCAGAGAGGACACCAGCATGTCAGTTTCCTCAGTCTGAAAACATACTAGAAATTTGGGGTCTTTGAAAAAGGAAATCCCATCAACCATTTCATTACAGCTACTGGTGAGCCTCTGAGATGCTTCTGCCGCAGCACCATAGCTACGAAGGGGAACAAGTGCCCGCCCACACACAGGTAACAAACCCTGCTACCGTATGGCGGGGACGGTCCTGCTCGTGGAGTCAGAGCGCGCGGATACAAGTCCTACCTGTGTCACTTACTAACCCCAAGAAGGTCCTGACCACAGTAACTACCCCTGAAAATAATAAACCCACCTCAGAGGACCGTCACAGGGATCCAGATTTAGTTTATAAGAATTTCCCTTTTTAAAAACACAGGGAAGATTGGGTTAGGTATTATCAGAGTTTGTGTGTAACCATTTGGAAATTCTTTCCCTGAAACAGAAAGGAAGGATTAAGTTGAGGCCCCCGGCCACCCTTAAACTACATGTGGCATTTCTGATACTGCCAACAAAAATGAAACCGAGTTGGAGCCTGCGGACGGGACCAGCAAGCCCGCGTCAGCGGAGACCCGCGGCGGCCGGCCCGGGGTCCCCACTGCCCGGCCGGCGGCGGGGCTCCCACGCGCTCCGCCCCAGGCCGCCAGCCGCGAGCTCCGGCCCAGTCCGGAGAGCCGCCTGCGGCCGCCCTGCCCTCAGCCTTGGGGAGTAGCAGCCCACTCACCAGGTCTGGAAGACCCCGGCCTTGCGGCCCCTCCTCACGGCATAAAACATGCTGAGGCCGCTGCTGCCGTGGGTGCTGCAGCGCACGGCGGCCAAAGCAACTCTGCGCGCCACGGCCAGAAGCCTGGTCATCGCTCACGGCTGGCCATCGCCCAGCACCTTAATTCCCCGGCTCCCGCCACCACCACCACCACACAGACCCAACTTCCGGCGGCGGCGCGGGGGAAATGACGCGCGTCCCCGCAACGCCTGCGGGGCGGGGCCTAGGGGCCTAGCGCCCAGCGCTTTTCCGGCTCAATTTTCCGGAGGTCAGGGAGAAAGTCGGCCCTGGGCGGTCCCGGGAGGGGCGGCACCTACGGAGGTGGGTGGGGACTAGGGCGGGGCCGGAGGGGAGGGCCCACGTGAGGGGCGGGGGTCTGGGCCGTGGGGGCGGGGCGGTCCCCGGGGGCGGGGTCTGGGTGGTGTAGGCGGGGAGGTGCTGCATGAGGGGCGGGGCCTGGGCGGTATAGGAGGGGAGGTGCCTCGTGAAGGGAGGGGTCTGGGCGGTAGGGTCGGGGTAGGGCCGGGCGAGGGGCGGGGCCATGGCTATGTGGGCGGGACGGGGGCCGAATGAGGGGCGGGACCGTGCCTGTGGAGGGCGGGGCCTGGGGAGGAGCCGCGCGAGGGGCGGGGTCTGGGCGGTGTGGGCGGGAGGGACCGCTAGAGGCCCCTCCTCTCGCCCCTCCTCGGCCTCGCAGCGGTTTGGGGGGCTGTCCCGGGCCCTTTGTGTGCAGTCGGGGCTGTCCAACCAAAGAAATAGGTGCTTGCCTCCTAACTGTCGTAGAGGCCGGAAGGACTGGCATTCCGCGATGAAAAAGAGAGCCGAGGCCGGAGGGAAGGGGAGCGCTCCACCCACGTGGGTGCGTGACCAGCAGGGTGTCAAAACCTAATGCACTGGGAACCAGGGAGAAAATTTAGTCGTAAAGGTGATTTGTTAGAATTCTGCCCGATATTTGACTTTTTGCTCTGTAAGCAAAACAACTTCTTTGAAAAGTCCTGTCCACTGGCAAGAATTGCTTTTCAAATTAACTTTAAACGACTTTAATTTTCTCTAGGTGTTCAGCTGGGCAAACCTTACCGAACACCTACTGCGCGCTGCCCAAGCCCGGGGTATGCACGGTTGAGTAAGACAGTCTGAGCACCAAGAGGAACCGCCGAGATGGGCACGTGAACGAGGAGACGACAGTGCAAAGCCACCAGTTTGAGAAGTGCGGGGCGGACAGTGAGACTGCGTGGGGGGTCCGGGACACGGTTTTGAAGGACAGAAAGTTCGTTCTCATGCATTAGGCAGAGCGAAGGAAGAAGGAACAGCAAGGGGGAGACAGACCTTGCTGTGGTCAGGTGTGTGCTTGTCTGTGAACTCAAAGAACATCCATTTAAAAAATTTCAACTTTCCTCATTTAAATTTAAATTGGCTAAAAGTCCATTCCTCATTCCTATTTTTATTGCACTTCAAGATAGCTTCTTAAAAAAAAATTGTCCTGGGGGCACCTGGCTGGCTCAGTTGGAAGAGCGTGGGCTTCTTGATCTCTGGGTTATGAGTTCGAGCCCCATTTTTGGTGTAGAGATTACTAAAAAAATAAATAAGCTTAAAAAATAATTTAAAAATTGTCCTTAAAAATCATTAATGATTGATCATGCTATCTCTTCTCATGTAGCTATGAAACCCAGAGATGCCCTGGCCACTGCTCTGGGGATGACTGCAGCCCCTCTTTCTACTGCAGTTCGTTCTGTCTTTACTCAAGGCCTTGGAGCGCCATGGGCCTCTGAGTGAGCTCAGGCTAGACCTTGGACAATTTATTTCTAGACTTGCTTTCTTCAGAGACATCACTAGCCCATCCTTTCCAGGTGACAACAGGTTCAGTTATGGACACAGATGGCACCGGAAGACCTGGTTGCAGGTTAGGAGGCTGAGTGGAAGTAGATCAGGGTAGTGGGCCAAAAGCAGAAGTCTTCACTCTAAAACTGTGAGCTGGGATGGTCAGTCCACTCTGAAATGTTGACAGTAGTACAGATTATAGACACAGCTGCACTCACAGTGTTCCCCTGAGGAGGAAGGAGGCTGGGCCCCGGTCAGAGTTCGGCCCACAGCTGCTGCCCCTCCCACTGGCTTGATCCTGGGCTCAGACCCACTTGGGACTTGCTTTTCCATGTAAAGTGGCTGGCTGTGGTCCTTTATCACAGGGCACTCATCATCCCTGTAAAATTGTAGGTTAGAATTATCTGAGTATGGTAAGAAAATCGCCCATGCGGCTTTCTGTAATTCCAAAACTGTTTCTTCCGGTGTTTCATTAACCAGTTACTCGTCTGAAAATCTTTTCTATCTTAATCTCTGGCTCCAAGTGTATGTGACTTTACCTATCCTGGCAAACACTGGCCCATTCTCAATACGGTACTGAGCACTGACCCAGAAAGTGAGACTCGACAGCACTCAAAATGAGTGAACTAAGTTTCACTGACACACACAATTATGGATAATTATTAGCAATATGATAGTAAGTGAATAAAGCAAGTCCCCGAGTGGAGATAGGACATCCTTCTTATAAATCTAAAAATGAAAATGAAAACATGTACTCCTTGAGTTACACATGCATGCAGAAAGCAGTAAATCTAAAGGAGAAGAGAGGCATGTCCTCTAGGCCAGACATTACCGACATTTGCAAAAGGTAAATCAATGCTACTCTTCTCACTTTGGGGGCGAGGGATATGGTTATTTTTATTTTTATTTTGGGGGCGCCTGGGTGGCTCAGTTGGTTAAGCATCCGACTCTTGATCTCAGGGTTGTGAGTTCAAGCCCCATGTTGGGCTCCATGCTAGGTGTGGAGCCTACTTTAAAAAATAAATAAATAAATAATAAAATATTTTTATTTTTAAAGATTTTGTTTATTTATATGACAGAGAGAGACACAGCGAGAGAGAGAACACAAGCAAGGGGAGTGGGAGAGGGAGAAGCAGGCTTCCCACTGAGCAGGGACCCCGATGCAGGGCTCGATCCCAGGACCCTGGGATCATGACCTGAGCGGAAGGCAGCCGCTTAACGACGGAGCCACCCAGGCGCCGGGATATAGTTATTTTTAATAAGATAACTGATATTAACTTGAAATGGGTTTATTGTTTCAATGAGTAATTTAAAAATTTTCTCCATTTTATGTTGCATGTGGTAAATATCAATAGTCATAACCTACAAAAAAATTCCTCAAGGCCTTCAATAACTTTCAAAAGTCCAAAGAGTCCTGAGGCCAAAATCCTAGGAACTTCTGACCTAGAAGATAATTACAGATCAACACAGGAACACACGATAAATAATACATTCAAACTGTGTCCTTGTAATTCCAATTTACATTTTTCCTGCAAATTGTGTTTTTTGAGTCAAAATTTCTACCAGTCTATAACATGCTTCTGTAAAACACATTAGGAGTTCTCAAAATGTGTGATTTGGGATAGATAACAGTCTGAAGCTGTCCCTTGCTTCAGAAGTAGCACATTTGTTTATTAGCACCCTGCTGTGTGCAGACACCACGGAATCACTGTACACAGTCAGAACGGACGTTCAGGAGGCCGGCACGATGTCCCAGGCACCGTGCTAAGTACTATATACACACAGCTCTATCTGATCTGCACGTACTAAAGTCATCCCGTTTACCGACAAGAAAGCCGAGATTTCGAGTCATCAAGTACTTTGCCTGCAGCCGTGAGGACAGGCAGGGCTGTGGCCAGGACTCCCACCCCGTCCAGCACCCATCCTGGTAAACCTAAGTCACGGTTCTCACAGTGGGGCCCTCAGACCAGCTGCAAAAACATCACCTGGGAGCTTGTTAGGAATGGGAATTCTGGGTCCTGCCCCACATCAGCAGGATCCAAACTCTGTGAGGAGAGGAGGGAGGGCGGAGCCCAGCAGTGTGTGTTTTAGCAAGCCCCCCCCCACCCCGCCCCATGGTTCTGAAGCACACTCAGGTTTGAGGACACCCCTCCCCGCAGTAGCTGGCCACGCTGCTTCATTTCTGTGACTCTGTTCACTTCCCACCTCAGTCCTGTGAGGTCAACAGGCAGACCTCAGGTTTATTTGACAGAGAAACGGGCTCAAGGAGTTTTTGATGACTTGCCCAAAACCTAGTTAGTTGTAGAACTGGAATGTGATCCTCAATCTTCTGGCTATCAGTCTGAAGCGGAGATCAGCACCAAAGAGGAATCCAGGGCAGTTGGGTGAGAGCAGAAGCCAGCGAGCTCATTTTGCTGCCTTTTGTCAAGGAAGAGAGGTGAGCCCCAGAGCAGGGGTTCCCTCCATGGGCCCGGCCACTCTGACGGCAGCCCACCAGACTCCATCCCCTATAAGCCATGCACGGGGCACAAGGATCACCTGCTGCACTGAGGATCTTACAGCTCACGCCATGAGGTCCTGGGGTTAAGACAGTCACCCCTCGAAGTTCCGTCCATCCAGAATCTGCATGAGGTGTGGTTTGCTGCAAGAGTCAGTTCCTCATCTCAGTCCTTCACGTTCCGTCCATCATCCCACAGCCTCCTCCCACCATGATACCAATGGCTGCGTGGTGGGAGCTTGGCCCTGCTGCAGGTAATATGGGGTTGCCTTTTCTGTAGAGGATTTTAAAATAATAATAAAACTAAATCAAAACTTTCTAAATGTTCTAAGTGATAAATGCACCATCCAGAAAAAAACCTTTCTTGTTGGTCTAAGTCTAAACAACCAGTTGTGGTATACTGAGTTTTAATTGTGTGTGTGTGTGTGTGTGTGTAGTTACCCATTTTTATTATAAATTTTTTTTTAAGATTTATTTTAAGTGTGCATGAGTGGGAGGGGCAGAGGGAGAAGGAGAGAGAATCTCAAGCTGACTCCACACTGAGCGCAGTCTGACTCGGGGCTTGACCTCAAGACCCTGAGATCTGGACCTGAGCCAAAACCAAGAGTCGGGCGCTTAACGCACTGTGCCACCCAGGCACCCCTATTATAAATCTTTAACAACATTACATTTTACGTGGACCTCCCAGTGCCACGGCTGGCTCCAGCCTGCCAGCACTCAGCGACAAGCGCAGGCTCGGCTGCGTGCGGCTCGGGCGCCGGGCTCCCGCGTTTGGACGGTACGTCTGAGGCCAACAGCGGCAGCTCGGTGACTGTGAAGACAGAGAAGTCGGACTGGAACTTGCATTACTTCACAG